CTTGCCTTGCATGCATGAGGCCCTGGGTTCGATTCCTCAGTACCACATAAGCAGAAAAAGCCAGAAATGGAGGTATCCTTAAATGGTAGAGTGCTAGCCTTGAGCTGAAGAGCTGAGGGACAGCATCCAGGCCCAGAGTTCAGGCCCCACGACTCAGGCCCCACGACTGGACCCAAAAAAAGACTTGATATACTTACTAGGATTCTAAAAGTATTTTTTTCAATTTTCTTCTGTTTTGTAGGAAATGGCCATAAAAATCATAGCAACATGCCACTGCACACTGGCCATAATAATTTTTTAAATTTTAATCGTTAATATTTTTGAGATTAAATGATTATATAAATAGTTAATTTTTTTTTTTTGGTTGGTCATGGGGCTTGAACTCTGGGCCTGAGCGCTGTACCTCAGCTCTTTAGCTCAAGGTGAGTACTCTCCCACTTGAGCCACAGAGCTATTTCCGGTTTTCTGAGTGTTTATTGGAGGTAAGAGTTTCACGGACTTTGCTGCCTGGGCTGACTTTGAACCATGATCCTCAGATCTCAGCCTCCTGAGTAGCTAGGATTACAGGCGATAAATAGTTAATATTTTTATAAAGCTGGTAATACTATTTAAAGCATACAGAGAAGTAGAAACTCTCAACCCTGCTTGAGAGAATGAAAATTGATACTGCTACTTGGGAAAACTGTTGGGCAATATGGAATAAATTTGAATGTTCACTTCACCATGATGGTACCATTCCCAACAGAACCTTAAACTAGTCTTTGCCAGCAGATTTTTGTAAGAACATTTAGGAATAAGGGAAGAATGATAGATAGGGTGACACATAAAGATGCATTATACTCATAAATTGACCTGTTGACCTCAAACTCCTTTGTCATCTATATAAGGATATAAGAGTATTCAAGAAATGTAATTAAAAAATCAAGAAACAATTTTATATTGGCATTCTTATTCCAAACAAAGTTAAGGACATAAAAATGTAGCCTGAGAAGACTACAGAGCCATGAACATCGTACTACTACACGCATGCACTTACTGAACTCAAGTTGATCAGTGTGATGTTTTGGCAGTATTCAACTAGTTTGGTACATGAGAAGAAGACTCTTGACACTGATTTTTTTGTTGTTGTTGTGGGCATGGGACTTGAACTTGGGGCCTAGTCACTGTCCCTGAGCTGTTTTGCTCAAGGATAGTGTTCTACCAATTTGAGCCACAGAGCCACTTCTGGTTTTCTAGTGATTAATTGGAGACGTCTTATGTACTTTCCTGCCCTGGCTGGCTTCAAACCATGATTCTTAGATCTCAACCTCCTGAATAGCTACAATTATAGATATGAACTACCAGCATCCAGCTTTGATTTTTTTTTAACTAGATATTTTATGTATTTTTCCAGGTGAACTGTAAAAGTAGTATGTAATTTTAGTGGGTTTGTTTTTTCTTTTTTTTTTTTTCCAGCAGCACTGGAGTTTGACTCAGTTCCTTTCCATGCAAGCATTCTTCCATTTGAGCCAAGCCCCCAACCCTTTTTGCTTTTATTATTTTTCATCTTTAATCTTGCATTTATACCTGTATTGGCCTTAATCACGGTCCTTCTACATATAATTCTTGCACTGCTAGAGTAACAAGCATACCACTGTACTCACCTTTTTGTTGGTTAATATGAGGGTCCTATAATTTTTTTTGCCTGAGCTCACTTGGAACAGCTATCTTGATCTATGCCTCCTAAGAGTGAGCCACTATACCTGGTGAGAAGAAAAGCATATTTTTTCTCAGTAGAGTAAATAAATAAATTGGATATGTTGTTATGATGACATTTTATTATTTACTATAAATGAAGATGAACCAGCGATTGCTATATAAAGCAATATAGATGAGTCTCATAAGTGTAATATTGAACAAGAAGCAGAGTATAATGTTAACTACATTTTTATAAATTCTAGACAAGCAAAACCAATCTGTTTTTAACATTAGAAAGTTCTGGAGCCGGGCGCTGGTGGCTCACGCCTGTAATCCTAGCTACTCAGGAGGCTGAGATCGGAGGATCGCAGTTCAAAGCCAGCCCAGGCAGGAGAGACCGTAAGACTCCTATCTCCAATAAAACCACCAGAAAACTGGAAGTGGTGCTGTAGCTCAAGTGGTAGAGCACTCTCCTTGAGCTGAAGAGCTGAAGGACAGCGCCCAGGCCCAGAGTTCAAGCCCCATGACCGACAAAAAAAAAAAAAAAAAAGTTCTGGAGATTAACCTTACTGAGCAATTTTAGGATCCATGAGATAAGACTTTATTTTTTAAAACTATTTAAGTAGTTGTACAAAGGAGGTACCATACAACAAAGCAGTTTATGAATATAATGCATCTTGATCAGTGTCACCTTTTCAACATTCTCAGCCCCCTTCAATATTCTCACTCCTCTTCAACCCATCCCTTCCATTACTTAATTTTAGGGTATGCACAATGAATTCCTCCCCCTTCTCTCCCTTCAGCTACCTGCTCCTCTTCTCTTGTTCACCTTCCTTGGGTGTACTCTTTCCTTGTGTTGATTTTCTTAACTGAAGTATGATAGACTCTATAGAGAGCTCAAATAGTATAATCTTTTAGAAAGACTAGTTTAAAGCCAAATCGAATTTTGTTTTTGAGTTAACATACATTTGTAATACGAGAAGGGTTTTATTATGATATTTCCATACATGTACACAGTACACTGTGAACAAATACATTTGTTCTACCATATTCTATCATATTCCCATTCCACCTATATTCCCTCATATCTTCATCTACATAGATTTGCTTTGTGAATACTCATTAGGCAGTATGTTTCTGTATATGACATACTTACATATACATATATAGATACACAAAATGGTAGTGATACTAGCTCTGAAAGAGAGAACCTGAAATAGATGGTAAAGCCATTGATGTCTATTCAGGAATAGGATAGTTAGCACAAAGGACAAGGGTTAGCTAAAGTATAGTGGTCTAGAAGAATAGTAAAAAGCAGCAAATAGCTAACTGCTTTCTGTAATATATTTCTGTAATATATATTCTGTATATATTCTAGACAGATTTGATCATGCTCTTGGGTTCTGTATACTAATGAAGTTACAGCTCAATCATTGTGCTGGTGTCTGGCAGCCTTTTTCCTTTGTGTGTCTCATCATGAACATGAATTCCTATGTAAACTACCACTAGTCAAGTGTTAACCCTTTTTTTCATTTATGTATGCTTAAATTTGTGCAAGCATATACAATATACTTTCTACATCTTTATTTCTTTTGCAGGTAGTACCCATGGCTATGTGGGTGCCAGTAGCAGAATGTCAAGAAGAGCACATTTATGCTCTGCTGCTACCGGTAGTTTATTAGACATTGATCCTTTAATCTTAATACATTTATTGGACCTTAAGGACCGGAGCAGTATGGAAAACTTGTGGGGCTTACAGCCTCGCCCACCTGCTTCACTTTTGCAGCCCACAGGTAAAATAATAACAATAACATTTTCTCTCTCTTTTTTTCCCCTGTGGTTCTCTAAGAGAACTGTTTGAATTTTCATCTAAGCATTTCATCTATGTATTGATCATAGTACATTTCTGTAGAAAATTGATCTTTCATTGTATAAGAATGACATATTAGTTGTTTTTTTTTCTTGCGGTGCTGAGTATTGAATTTAGGGCCTGGTGCATGCTAGACAAGCCCTCTGCCACTGAGCAACACCCCTAGTGCTCATATTATATTAATTATATCATATTAATATTTTGTTGTTGTTACTAGTCAAAAGTATTCAGTACATAAACAAATTTACTTTAAGAAGGTTTTAGGAGACTGCTCAATTAGAATGCTTGTCTAGCATGCACAAGGCCCTAGGTTTAGCCCCCAGTACTACCAAAAAAAATAAAAGAGGGAGAGAGAGAGATCAGGTTAAAAATAGGATTTGCCTTTCATTCATACTGCTCTGGTTTCCTCATACCACCAAAAATATGAAAAAAAAAACCTGCTTGGCACCAGTGGCTCATGCCTGTAATCCTAGTTACTCATAAGGCTGTTTAAAGCCAGCCCAGGCAGGAAGTCACTGAGATTCTTATCTTCAACTAACCACCAAAAAGCCAAAAGTGGAGCTGTGGCACAAGTGGTAGAGCATCAGCGTTGAGTGAAAAAGTTAAGGGACAGCTCCCAAGTCTAGTTCAAGCTCTGGTACTAGTACCAAACACCAAAACCAAACCTCAAAACCTAATGAAGTTGTTCAATGATTTGCCACTTACATTGTACCTAATTGACAATTTGGTTCATATGAAGTACATTTATCTTCATGAATGGATCTGACTTGTAAAATGGACCTCTGTCTGAATTGAACATTTAAAAAGATTGTTTAGTCATGCTTTGGTATTCATTACATTTAAAATGTATACCAACTCTCATCATTGTTTATATGCAAAGGTTATTTGTTATGACAAATTACATATAGTAATTTGTAACATAGAGATTTGTAAAGTCCAATTTTTGCTTTTTAACATTGTCAGGGATAGTTATTTTAGACAGCCAAGGATTTATCACAAGATTTATTTTTAAATCCATTTTTTTAGGGAATAGAGATATAGCTTAGTGGTAAGATTGCTTGCCTGGCATATGTGAGTCCTTGATTTGATCCTCAATATACCATTTGGGGGATGGGGATGATTATAAAGCAACCATTATTTGTATTGAAATGCTTTCTAAAATGCTTTTTGTTGAAGAATATATTTCTTGCCTGCTGCTTGTTGATAAGCATTTTTAATCTAATGAACACCAAAGCATGAATAAGCAATCATTTTCCATGTTTACTTTAGATAGAGCTCTACTTAAAAGTCAGACCTGAGAAACTCTTTAAGTCTAATCACAGAAAAGTACAACTATACTTGAAATAGATCAGACTATCAAGTAAACACCATAAATGTAAAACTATCCTTTATTAAACAGCTTGGTAAAATATCAATATATTGATATTGGACATATTGAACCAGTGTGTTTGTGTGTGTGTGTGTGTATGTGCGCACGTGCGTGCACTATGCATACAAACTTGATATTACTCAAGACCTTGTGCATGTTTGGTAAGCCCTCTACCTCTCTACCTCTGAAATCACACTACCATCTCCCCCTACCTTCTTAAGTAGTAATACTGTATATTGTATAAGTCAGGTAGTATGGAGAGTCTTTCTAATGCTGTTTTCAACCAGCAGAACTAACTTCTCAGACAATATCTCAGGCTGAACATATGTATAGAAAGTAGAAAGATAGAGCTGCTGGGGTGGATTAGAGCAGAATTATTTTGGCCACTTTTTTTTTTTTTTCCCCAGTCCTGGGGGTTGAACACAGGGCCCTGAGCAATACTCTTCCACTTGAGCTACAGTGCCACTTTCGGCTTTCTCTAAGCAGTTTATTGGATGTAAATGCCAGGCCGGGCTGGCTTCGAACCACAATCCTCAGATTTCAGCCTCCTTAGTAGCTAAGATTATAGGCATGAGCCACTGGTGCCAGGCTTGGCCACTTACTCTTTTTTTTTTCCTTGATTTTTTTTCTTTTTTTCTGGTCTTGGGGCTTGAGCTCAGGGCCTGGGCACTGTCCCTGAGCCTCTGTGCTTGAGCCACAGTGCTATTTCTGGCTTTTTTGAATAGTTTATTGGAGATTAGAGTCTAAACAGGGACTTGTCTGCCCAAGCTGGCTTTGAACCATGGAGCCTCAGATCTCAGGCTCCTCAGTAGCTAAGATTACAGGCGTGAGCCACCATTGCCTAGCAACCACTTATTTTTTTTAAGTATACTTCCTGTTATCTGGGTCCATATGCTTAGAACTTTGTCTTTAGCCAGGTTATGGATTAGTTGTTTTTTATTAATGGTTCATGTACACTTTTATATAAATTTTTGTTTAAATTACAATTGGTGTTTTTTGCAAAGTTTTAGTGAAGTGGGTAAGTTTTGGTGATGCAGTAGACATATGAATCTAATAAGGAACAATTTTATTGGTAAGTTTAGTAAATAGGTAACATTTATTTTATTTTATTTTATTATTTTTTTTGCGGGGGGGGCATTCATGGGGCCTGAACTCTGGGCCTGCGTGCTGTCCCTCAGCTCTTAAGCTCAAGGCTAGTGCTATACCACTTGAGCCACAGCGCCACTTCTGGCTTTTTTCTTTTTGCTTATGTGGTGCTGAGGAATTGAACCCAGGGC